GTCTTGAATGTAATAAGAGACAAATGGTCCAACAAAAAGGACATCCAGTCAAACATCAATCAACCTCAAACATTTTCCTGCTGGACGTCCATGATGATGCCCGGAGCAAAGATTAGCAGGGTTCATCCAGGGATCTTTGAACTGATATATACTGTATATATTTTTAACATTGTTGTAAAATATAAAAATATGTTTGTGCATGTGATTTGAACATGGTGTGTGTCTGTGTGTGTGTGTGTGTGTTGCAGCTCACCCTCAGACGTCTCCCTTCAGGACAAGCTGCAGTCCCAGCAGACCTCGGAGCAGCCTGGTGGCAGGACAGAGTCTAAACCTGGTCTGAAGTAAGTGATGGGGGTGTGGTAACCAACAAAACAACAAAAAAAAAAGAAGAAGAAAATTTTACCTGTTGCTTTTTTTAATCTGTGTTGAATAAACTTTAATGATTTGGTTTTATAACGAGCCCTGATCTTGTTGTTATCTTGTAAGAAAAATAATACGTTGTTCAAAATGGTTTGTCCGAATAAACAGGAATCCAACTGGATTTCTTCTTAAAACTTTATCCTCAATCTTCTGACTCCAGTCAGGTTGACAGTACAGCACCCAGCAGGCCTCAGCGTAAGACCTTGAGCTGAATCAGAACAAAACACATGAACCCTCTGAGCAGAGACTCTGCAACACACAGACAACTTCCCTCTCCTATAATAATGAATTGACCTTATAATGTTCATCTGTTCCTCGTTACACCTCTGGAGGGGTTACCTTTGACATCAGATGTAGAACGTAACCTATTTCTGTTTAGACTAAAGACAGAACACATGATAACACACGTCAACTCTTTGTCTGTTTTAACCTTAAAGACTGAAGTGATCAGAAAGTATAAAATACAAAACTGAATCTAATATTCAATTAATCAGTTACAAAATTTCCTTCAGTCTTATAATATCATTTTGTCTGGATGTGATAACCACATAATTACAGATAATCTTTGTCTGTGTACCCACAATCATTTTATTTTTTTATCTACAGGATCTGTTTTTAATTTGTGGACTCTTTGTAAATTATCAGTGACCTTCATCACTTCATAACAATCTAAGCTTGTTTTTCTATGTTTTGTAAAAGACTTGCATCAATTCTGAGTCAGTACACAGACAGTTTTGTTTTTCCATATTTTATTATTATTAGTAGTTGTAGTAGTAGTAGTAGTAGTAGTAGTAGTAGTACAGTCTAACTCTAACTAGCCGTTCATACCACAAAGCATTCAGCTCATTCAGTCAATTTGGTTTTTGTAACTCTTATTAAAATATGTTGAACTTAAAACATTTCCCTTTATTTAGAAATATTTTCTCTGTAGAAATTCATTGATATTTTTTCAATTCTTTCAAAAATATTTTTGAAATCTGTTTCAGCAAACTATCTCTCTTTTCTTTTTATGCAACTTTTTGCTTTTAGCAGCAATTTTGCTACTAGTTAGCCTTTTGCTACGTTTAGCTTTTAGTTTGTTTATTTTTCTCTGATTTCTGACACTTTCTGTGTTTTCAGGAAACAGTTTAATAAAAATGGGTAACTTTTGACCTCATCTTCACCTGACAGAAAATAGGAAGTAGATTCCAGCTGTGGCTTGAATCTGACCAATCACAGGCTAACTGTATTACCTGGTGTATTATAAAGGTGCTGTTTAATAGCTTATCTGTTGTATCTCGGATTTTGTATTTTAATTCAGATTTGTTTAACGACTGTTTCTTGGGTTCTACATAAGTTTTAACCTCTATTTATTTATGATTGCTAAATTATAGCTATTGATAAAATTAGCATTAGCTGTTAGCTTAGTTGGGTTTAGCAATCCGCATGTTTATGGTGTCAATTTTAGCTACAGCATAACAAATTTCAGCTCAATAAGTCTTAAAATAGCTGAAATAAATCCATTTAAAGTTAACTGTGGTGGCCATTTTGAATTTTTACTATGTAAATTTTCAGGTTTGTTTGTCTAAAAATGGCTGAATTGGAGCTCTAATATTAGCATTAGTGGTTAGCTTAAATAGTGACTAGCATTCAGCATGTTTTTGGATCATTTTTAGCTACGATCACAAAATTTCGGCTTAATATTTCTTAAAACAACTGATTTAGAGACATTTGAAATTAGCTGTGGCGGACATCTTGAACTTTCAAATAAAGAATTATCTTCTTTATTTGTGTGTGCCCCCCTAACGTTCCGTGGACCACCCTTTACAAAAAAAGTCTAGCTCCGCCCCTGCTCACAGGACTCTCAGGTCTTTCTCTGGTAAATCCTTGATTATGTTGCTTTGCTGCTCTAATCTTTTTTTCTCTTCTTCCTTCTCCTTCCTTTCTCTTCCTTTGTTCCTCCACCAGCTCAGTGGAGGATGAGGAGCTCTTCTGGTGAGTATTTGTCCTCCTCTCTTCATCCTCCCTCCTCCTCCTCATGTCTGTATTTCAGTCTGGAAACCAGCTGCATAGAGCAGGTTGGGTTTGACCTCTTCAGGCCTTTTCCTGTTCAAACTGCCGGGTGGTGAAAAACAAACACCGTGAATTTATCAGCAGGAGACTTTCAGAGGGTTTCCTCCACTTTTCTGTCTAAACGTTTGTTTCTGGATCCGAGCTTTGGTTGCTGTGGTTTTGATCACTCACTGTGGAATGATGCATGTGAACGAAGAGAAGCTCAAATGTTTTGAAGTGAAACGTTGAGTCGGTCGATGCTGCAGGTAGGATGATTTCTCTTTGGATTCTTTGTTTTTGTGCAGCTGAGGTGCTTCAGTTTGACTCAGCTGCAGCCTGGAGGATGATGGGAAACTTCTGTTTCAACCTGTGTGTGAGACGTTTGTTGTGTTTTTGCAGCTCAGACACCTGTAATGTAAATCAGGACAAACCGGTGCTGAGGAAGCTCCAGTAAGTACCTCTGCAGCCCCACTGCATGCTGGGAGCTGCAGAGCTGCACGCTGTGTGTCTGGGGATGAAAATCAGCTGCTTTCTGGGGAAATCATGTTTGATAAACAACAAACTGGTTTCAGTGTGATCATCTAAACCCTTCAGTCTCATCGTGTCTCTGCTCCTGGTCCTGCTCCTGGTCCTGGCTCTGCTCCTGGTCCTGGTCCTGGTCAGCTGTCCTCCTGCAGTTCAGGTCACAATAAGCTCATAAAAGTGTGCAGAATCTGAACGGTGTTGTTGGGAGGCAGCAGCAGACACAAACAGAGGAGTCTGTCAGAACTGAACCAGAACCGCCCACAGAACCAGGACTGCAGGACACAGACAGCTGCCGTGTCCCTTGTCCTCAGAGGACCATCAGTTTTTGTTTCAAAAAGTCTTCTTTCATTTAGTTATTTTACAAAGAATTTTCCTTCAGTTCGTTCAGAAACAAAAAAACATGTTTTCTTTGATGTTTTGTTTGGAACTTAAAGAAAACCTTTAATTTAAAAGATCTTCAGTTGGCTTCAGCTCCTTTACAGAAACAAAATTCCTCTTTTCTTTATGTCTTGTATAGAAACAAACATACTTTGTCTCATTTAGAAACAAACGTTACCGTTTTCTCTCACAATTTTTAAATAAAACTTTTTTTTCATCTTGTTTAAAATTGTTCAAAAAGTTTTTTATTTTTATTATTTAGCAATACGAATTCATAGCCTGAAAAATCCACTCTTTCCAACAGCATTTCTGAACCAACTAATAACATTACTAGGATTTGTTGCAGTTTAAAACGTTTTTTATAAATAAAGTCCAAAGGCTCATGGATCCTGAAACTATGAAAAAACAATCTAAAATAACATAAAGTGTATGTTCATATAAATACTTTATAATGATGGTTGTTTTCTGAGCCGACTCTCCTGATCAGTATTTTGTCGTGTGATTTCCTACCTCATCAGTAAAATCCAAACCCTTGACAGGAAAATAGTGTTTGTGTGTTTTTGTCAGTTTGTCATAAATGTGAGTGTGTTTTGTTGCAGAAATGTAAGTTTGTGTGTTTCTGGTGGCGGGGCTCAGAGTCGTCTTGTCCTGGATTGTTGGGTTTGATTTTGGGTGTGGTCTGATCAGGGGTTTCATCTGGGTCAGTTTTATAGTAAAGACCAAAGGATAACTCTGAGATTTGTTTGAGTTGTTGATTAATTTGTTGAGTTAATGAAACTTTGCTTCTAGTGTTCAGTTTTCTGCATGTATCTTCTTGTCATCACATCTCAGGGTTGGACTCAAATCAACAGTAAAAGTCTTTAAAATGGTAAAAATGGTAAATGGACTGAACTTGAATAGAGCTTTATCAGACTACAAACCACTTAACACCACAGACATTCACACACTGATGGTGGTAAGCTACATTGTAGCCACAACTGCCCTTGGTCACACTGTCAGAGGCGGGGCTGCCATGCACCGGCACCACCGGACCCTCTGACCACCATGAGCAGGCAAGGTGGGTGAAGTATCTTCCCAAAGACACAGTCACTGAGTTTCCATTGCAAATGTGCGCAAAACTTTGTCGATATTCTGTTAATGTCGAAAAACACAGTTTTGCAACTGCAGTGTTTCCATTAAGTAAGAAATGCTATTAAAAGTCACGTGAATACGTTTGTTCTCATGATAAGTCATTACAAACATGGCAGCGATGGATGTAAACACATAGCATGTTGCTACCACGACACTAGCGCTCATCATCAGAGGAGACGTCGGCGTCTTTTATCGATGCTTTCCAGAGACAAGTCCCTACTTGGGAGCGGCTACGTATGCTGTGTTTTTGGGAAATTGTAGTCGGTGAGTTTACTATTTTATACTACTTCTGTGATATTACTACTACTTCTACTTCCTGTTATCTTTGTTGTCGTCCTTTTCACCAGTAGAAACAGCCGGTTGTTGATCACGTGACTCCTGTGATGTGAAAAAAGTGTTTCCATTTAAGTTTTGCAAAAAACACCTATTTCGATACGGCCGAAAAACCACCTCATCCTAGCGCAAAAACATTTGTCGAAAAACGTATTTTTTTTCGAAACTGACGTGTTTCCATTGAGCAAGTTTTACTTCCGAAATTCTAATTTGTGCATTTTCATGGTCAATGGAAACACAGCTGAGGACTGAGACGGCTGGAACAGAGGATCGAACTGGCATTATTTTATGTTTTTTCCCAACAAGAGGCCATTTTCACTGTGGCCGAGTATCACAGACTTAAAAAATCAAAAAGAAAAAAAGTAAGTCCTCTGGATTGGTTCTTCTTTAATGAAACGTTTCCTCTCTCCTCCAAGAGACTTCTTCAGTCTGAGGAGTTTCAGGGGAACCCAGCCTTATAAGCTCCGCCTCGACATGGTGGACAAACAGATTGATCACATGCAAAAGAGGACCATCAGCCTAACGATGGGTTGTTAGTGCCTTGATTAGCTCTATTGTTCATGGAGGGTCATGTGCCCCATCACATGACTATCGTTGGGGCCCTGATTCACACCTTTTGCTCAATAACAGCATTGTAGGAGGGGGACGACTGGACACGAAGGCCTCCACCTCTGTTTAATGGTGGACGGTTTTTACTGAGATGCATCAGGACATCACTAAACTTTTGCACGTTTATAACTACCTCAAATGGTACAGTAACCTAGATATGGGCGTGGCAAATTGGTTCATTAGTGTCATATTGAACGCAGTCCTTCTGGCTACTTTATTATACGTATATCAGTCCAGGACCTACAGCAACTCAAAAGCCTCTTGGCACTTTATATTAGGAAGTAAGCCATTTTAAATGAAATGTCAATGTTTGGTGATTTTCATTTCGCACTGAATTCTATTTCGTCTTTAGATTCAAGCATATCCATTTCAGAATTGGACCAAAGCATCTTGACAAGACGGTGCACAAATTTGTTAAAAAAAATCAAAAATCCAAAGCGTGAAAATGGGATTTTTTTTCAAACATGCCCATTTCTCCTTCAAACATGACCTTTGGCGTAATGTCACTGTACATTGTCCAAACTGTGTAAAAGCATTGGCGGCGGTGGCGACCACCTTCGATCTTTGAGGATCATGGGATTATCATCTGTCTTTCTCAGTGTTGCATTTTTAATGGCTAAAAAATCCAATCTTGAGGCTGATGGTGAGTCTGGAATAATCTAAGGCCTTGGTCAGATCAGTGAATGCCATGTAGAGGGGATTATACGTCTCACATTTCTTCTGTAACTGGCAAAGAGAGATGATTGTGTCCACAATTGACCTGTGAGCACAGAATCCACACCCGTTGACCGGACTCAGTAGGGAGATCCCCTGTAGTTGTTGCAGTCACTTCCATCACTTTTGGTCTTGTAGAGCAGGGTTGGGCAATCCTGGTCCTTGAGGGCCGCTGTCATGCGTGTTTTACTTGTTCTTCTTGTTCAACACACCTGATTCAGTGATTGGATTTACTCCTCATGTTCTGCCTAAGCTTACTAATCACCCATTCATTCAGATCAGGTGTGTCAGAGCAGAGGAACCTCAAACATACAGGATAGCAGCCTTCAAGGACCAGGAGTACCCACCCTTGCAGTAGAGGGTGATGATGCTGGCGTCTTGCATATCCTGTGGTATGACACTTCCTGCCAGCACCGGCACAACAGCTCGTGCAGAGACTGCAGGAGTGTTGTCTTGCACTATGTTGGGTAGTTGGGTGGTACAGCATCACCTCCTTCCCTGAGGCTCAGTTCTTGGATGCTAGACTCTTTGTCCAGCTTGTGCATTATTGGCAGACTCTCAATGGTGTCCAGGACTGTGGCAGAGACAGTTTGTTGTGGAGTAGAGCTCTGAATAGTGGTCCTCTCACTTGTCCATCTGCTTGCATTTATTTGTGAATACATTCCCATTTAAATATTTGAGAAGTGCTGTTTTGTTCTAAGTTGGACCAAGTTGGACCACCTACTTAATGCCATTGTAAATCCCTTTGGTGTTTCCTGGTAGCAACATTGTCTGAATGTCTTCAGTCATCTGCAATGGCGCAATGTACACTTAACAGCTAAGCTTCCAGGCCTAAACATGCTACTATGTCATGACCATGCTATGTCATGGTCATGACATAGCACAAGAGTAAACCTTTTGAGAAGCTAATAAAATATTTACAAAGGGTATAGCTTGGGCAACTTGGGAATTTGGAGATGTCGCCATTGGGACATTACTGGCTATAAATGACATATACCTTGCTCTGGTGAGCGAAGCATCATCAAACCACAAACATAGCTCCTGAGACACACCTCCTGAGAAACTTTCCTGCTGTAGCAAACGTCACTGCGTGTGGTTTATTCTCGTTGAGTCTTCACTCCGGGAAAAAGAAAAAATCAGATACCCGACGTTGTTTGTCCACATTTCTCCTGATACAACAGTCTGCTTTGAAGCAAGTATTTTTTAATATTTGGAAGCAAGTCGTTGAAGCAGAATGCTTCGTCTGGTCACTTTCAGCATAAATACACACACCCACGAACTTCTGACCAATCACACAGTAAGATCTTTTGTCGAAGGGGGGTGAATAGTTCCTACAACGGGTTGTGACAAGAAGCGGTGGAAGACTCGGAGCTGTGAACAGAATGATGTGATTTTCATTAAACTGTGACAATGAGAGCCAATGCAGCAGTTCGGATGGAGTATGTGGAGGCTTTTAGCCTTTTTTAGGTCACATGTTCTTACCTTGTCCACTTGGTTTCACCTGGTCTCTCGTGGGTCAACTGATCAGACTGGGTAACCTTGCAGGTCTTTTCTGAAATCAGAAGGGTCACCTGGTTCCACTGAGTGTTGTGTGATCTCAATGAGGCTAATGTTGTCTTACCTGGGTTATATGGTTTCAGGTGGGGTCTCCGGGTCTCACCTGGATTTCCTCTGATAAGACTCGAATCACCTGATTGCTCCTGGGACACCTATTCTCACACAAGTTACTTGGAATGACTAGATCTCTTCTTGTCCTCACAGAGGTGCCTTCCTGAGTAGGTTGTCAGCCACTCAGTGGGAGAAGAAGAGGAGAAGTAAACTCTTGAGCCAGTCCTCTGTGCTGACCCCATTTGATGATGTCATAAACCTGAGCCCTCAGCTGCCAGCAGAACTGGGGGACACGGTTTCATCTGAATGTACTGGTAAGTTTTCTCACATCAAATTTTCACGTACCTAATGTACTGTGAAGTCTTGTTGCACATTATGTACGCTAATGCAGCTAATGTTGCCAACCCTGCTGAAGATTATAAAGTATATAAAATTTAAATTTAAAATGTATTCATTTAAAACAATATGGATGCTATCAGTGGTCCGACAGTTTAAAGTGCAGCTTGGATAGCAGCCACAACTGTAAGTTTGATGTATTGTAGGGAAGCTTTACCAGTCTTAGCAGCATTTGCAGCATTAGCGGTGTTAGCAGTGTTTGCAGTGTTTGCAGTATTAGCCGTGTTTGCAGCATTAGCGGTGTTAGCCGTGTTTGCAGCATTATCGCATTAGCGGTATTAGCAGCATTAGCGATGTTTGCAGCATTTGCAGCATTAGCTGTGTTTGTAGCATTTGCAGCATTAACAATGTTATCAGCATTTGCAGCATTAGCAATGTTAGCAATGTTTGCAGCATTAGCAACGTTATCAGTGTTTGCAGCATTAGCAATGTTAGCAGCGTTTGCAGTATTAGCAGGGTTAGCAGCATTAGCAGTGTTAGCAATGTTTTACACTCAAAGTGAGAAAATGTTTGTGACATTTTTTAACATTTAATTTTAAACTTGGTGCCCCATATCCCTCAGGGCATTTCAGTTTGGGTCAAAATACAATCATTTTAAAGCGACACACTAACAGTTTTCCATCTGGCAACCTTGGCATGTTTTTTTATTTGTTTGTTTTGTTTTGTTAAATCACCCCAATAAACATTGTAAAAATCAGTAACATTTCCAGAGACTGTTCTTGTGTGAACAGGACCTTAATGTTTTGTTTTTTCAGCTTCAACACCCAGCAGTTCAGACCCAAACCAACAGTCAGACTCACAGAATGAACCAGGTAAGATGCCTCGTTTACCCACAATGCTCTGCTCAGTGTCTTCTGCACATCCTGAGAGTTTCTTTCCTTCAGAATTGACACAGAAAACTAAACTAAACTAAAACTTGTGTTGCAACCTGTTTGTAGCAGCCCTGCCCACGCAGCGACCGTGCAGTACACTGTCTGATGATAAGAAGTTCGTCCTGGACATGATTTACTCAAACACCTCTGCAGCTGAACCCAACACCACAGAAGAAGAAAAGAAGAACTTCAAGGCTGGTGAGTCTCCTGATGTGTTAAAGAAATCAAGATTCATCAGTTTAGTTTTTTTTTTTTTGTCAAAAGTAAAAATAATATTTCTAAGTTCTGTCAAATGCTCTTATTTTTCTTTCATGTTCAGGTGAAGATCTGAGCGGTTGTGTATCAAAGCGTGTGTCTAACTTCAGCTCAGTAGAGTCCACCACCCCCAGCGAGAGCAGCGCCTCCCGCAGGGCGGAGTTGGAGAGCCTGGAGGGCTCCACCCAGGCGGCCCGGGCCCGACTGACCGAGGAACGGCAGGTTTGAGTATTACCCAGCACCCTTCATGTCAGAGTGTTAGACCATGATCACCCTGTCCACATCTGATTTTAGCTCCATACCTATAAAAGTGGGTGAGTTTTACACATTGAAGTGTTTGCTGTGGTCGATTGGTTGTGGCGGCCCGCTTTATTAATCAGTTGAAGACGTACATCCAGGGATGACTTTCTTTGAGTTTCTTCAAAGGCTACCTTCTGTGTTCATGAGATATTTTGACCAGACAGCGTTGACTCTGGTAGTTTAAAACAAAAAAACATTCCACAACCTTTTCAAGGTTGAATCTGTTGTAACTTGTATTTGTAACTTCTGAACTTGTATTCTCACAGAAAATATATTTGATTTTACATGAATACAAATACAAATCTAAAATTTATGTACGTTTATTGACTTAAATGTACAAATTTAGACTCTTACACGTACAATTCTTTATGACAGTTGTCTTACCCATAAAAACGTCTCTAACTATGCATTTCATAAGTATGACAAGAATGGCTGTCCTGGTGTTGGCATCTGACAAACAGCAGTGTTCGTCCCTTCTCTGTGTTTTCTTGTCACAGATTGATGTGTTCAGTTTGAGTTCAGGTCCAGTTCAGGTCAAGGTTGTATCAGTAGCTGTGTTTCCATTGACCATGAAAATGCGCAAATTAGAATTTCGAAAATAAATTTGCTCAATGGAAACGCTTCAATTTCGAAAAAATAATTCGTTTTTCGACAAAATGTTTTTGCTCTAGGATGAGGTGGTTTTTCGGTCGTATTGAAATTGGTGTTTTTCACAAAACTGCAATGGAAACACTTTTTTCGCATCACAGGAGTCACGTGATCAACAACCGGCTGTTTCTACTGGTGAAAAAGACGATGATGAAGAAGATAACAGGAAGTAGAAGTAGTAGTAATATCACAGAAGTAGTAAAAGAAAGTATTAAACTCACCGACTACATTTTCCCAAAAACACAGCATACGTAGCCACTCCCACTGTAAGGGGCTTGTCTCTGGAAAGCCTCGATAAGACGCCGACGTCTCCTCCTCTAGTGTCATGGTCTATTACCTTCATGTTTGTAATGACTTATCATGAGAACAAACGTATTCACGTGACTTTAATAACATTTCTTACTTAATGGAAACACTGCAGTTGTGAAAATGTTTTTTCGATATTAGAATATCGACAAAGTTTTGTGCACATTTGTAATGGAAACGCAGCTCATGAAGTCTTTCTGCCTCTCATCAGAAACTCGTGTTGCGGCAGCAGAGCAGCATTGATGTGGAGCTGCACACCCGGCAGCTGGAGGCCCCCACGCTGGGCCCCGGAGGCTCCGGTGATGCCTGGAGCCAGCTGCAGCTGAGTGCCACCTCCCTCCGGATCAAAGACCTGGACTTCTCTGACCTGATAGACGAGGAGGACATCGACGTCTTGGACATGGAGTCCTCCGTCTCCGGCTCCTCGTTTTCTGGCATCCCCCCTCCTCCTCCTCTCCCAGGCATCCCTCCTCCCC